CCAACTAATATTACATATATAGATTTTTACCTCCCTAAATGCAACACCTCTCTAAATGCACATGCTAGAGCTGGTCCTGATGACGTGCATTTAGAGAGGTCTGACTGTATATACTGTACATATATATTATATATATTATGTATGTATAAGTGCATAAGAGTAATAATTTATTACGTATAAGAGTTGGTTTTACTCTCACGCACTAATATATACAGTTAGACCTCTCTAAGTGCACGCCCTTGGGACTACACTTTAACAATGTGCATTTAGAGAATAATAAGAAAAAGAGCAATTATAGAAGTTAAGTATATATTTGGGCCAAAACCTAAATGTGCATTTAGAGAGGGTATGTACTTATAGAGAGTGTACTTAGAGAGGTCTGACTGTATATATATTATTGTTATCATTATGTAACAATTAATAATAACATATTTTTAGATCGTGGTTTAAAAAAGGCTGCATTAGATAAAATTTATGAGACTGCAGCATTAATTTGAAGTGACTTGCATTATTCAGAAGCATCGTGTCATCAATTATTAACAGAAATGTGAATTTGGAAAAGAAAGGCTGAACCTTACAACCTTTCATATAATTTTGCTCGTAAAACTCCAATTAAGTGGTGGCTTAGTATAAACATTGATGATGATCAGGATCAGCTTTTACAATTAGCACTGCGTTTATTTTCTATTGTTCCTTCACAGTCTTCTTGCGAAAGAAATTTTTCAGCACTTAAATGGTTTTATGGTAACAAACAAACCCGACTTTGTCTTTCTCGAGTAGAGAATATGGCAAAAATACGCTCTTATTATCTTTTAAACTCTGATAAAGAACTTCAACTTTATGGAAAAGATTTAGGAGAAGAGGAGTTATATAAAAGTATTAATACATCAATGGTTGTATATGATTTATTTGAAACGCCAAATGAAAATATTAATGTTAATGATTTAGATAATATTGATGAAAACATGAATTCAGAAATTTCTCATTCGATATTAAATATTGCAAACTTGGTAAATTTAACGTTGCCAGAATTTTCAGAAGCG